TTTGGAAGTTTGCCATCAAGTTTGTTATCAAGTTTGGCTGGATCTTTAAGTAGGAATATGTATTGTCTACATCTGGATTTTGTACTGTCATGAAACTAGACGCCAACAATACTGTTGAAGAGCCTAATTAAAGAACAGAGCTTTGTTTTCTAACTGAATTAAAAGCTGCAGTTCTCTTGTAACCTTCAGGAGCTTAAGAAAGCATCCAATCTAGTATTTCAAATTCTATTGTAACATTATTTCAATGGAATACTTTTTGATTTACCCTTGATTCCTTATATAAAATAATCACTCATGTATGATCATGCTATGTGCGTCACAATCAAAATGTGTTTCAGAAGCGGCCGTCGCAAATCAGCTTTTTAAACTAAAAGAATGGCTATTGTCACAACATTCTTCTTGCCCGGTCAGGTACTTTTAATCTAAACACCTAGTCAGAGTGATTAGGGAAATTTAACTGTCTACTTTGCAGTGAAGGTTAAAGAGTGCCTGTATAGGAGTGGGAAAGGAAAGGCAATGTCCCTTAGAGAGGGCAGCACACGAGCTTAGTACTTGCGGTGGAATAAATTACAATGAAGTATGTGCTTCTGCCCCAAGAGCTTTTTCACTTCAACATAGTAGACTTCTGTCAGCTCTAAAAGGTGCTCCAAAATGGTTCAGATGAATCACACCACTCCAATAATGGGTGCGCACATTCTGTCAAGTGCTGATTGTTGGGCAAGTTGGTATGGCACATTCTGTGTCTGGTGATAACACCTGGCAGTGATGATGGTTGTAAATCTTATTATAATAGACAGATTGAATCTCTGAAAGGCTCAACATTTAGGGACACATGCTTTCAGGATTGCTTCCCAGTCACGCTAACATATGTTCTTGTTGGCCTACTTTATTTTGTTTGTAACTGTAAAATTCCTTCTCCTAGCTTAGGACTTTTGGTATGCTACTGCAAGGCCAATTACAATCCTGAAGTTTTGAATGTTTTGTGCAAAATACCTTTTTCATTCCTGTTGCCTCTTTTACTTTAAATGTGGTGTCTAGAACGAGGACAGGTCACCGGTGTGTTACAGACCAGCTGTAAGCATACGACTACAACGACAGATAAACATATCCCTAACATCTTTAATGCCAACTGTGAAAAAAAAGCAAAAAAAAACCTAACGTCGCAGTTTTATCTTGGATGGGCATCTTGGGGTCCCTTTGTCCCGCTCAGGGCTTGCTGCCTCTGCCTTTCATCCTTGATGTAATCTTCCAAGTTCTGAAACATTGAGAAAATCACATCATACAATATGCCATATTTGTCCAATTCTAACAAGCGGTCCTCACTTCATTCTTAAGCACACCCAGCTCTTGTACTCAAGAATAACTTTTAACGTCTCATGGAAACCTCGTACTGATCACATTATCGCTAATGGCAATTCTATGCTTGGGTATCTTAAACGAAATTTTTTCCGTATAAACCTCTAGTTCAATCAAAGCTTGAATATGCAGCATCAATCTAGGACCCCCGGCCAAACAACACTGGTGACTAACCTTGAAGCTCTACGAAATCACCGTACACATTTTATATATTGTAACTATCTTCACACAGCTAATGTCTCATCTATGAAAACTACTTTATCCCCCCTTCTCCGTTTCTTACATCGTAAAACATCTCGTTTAGGCCTTCCTATAATATTTGTCAATCTAACGCTTCAATAAGAAGTAAATTATTCCTTAGCCATATCTGCACAAGTTGATCATAACTTTGAAGTCTGCATACCTCATTGTCAAACGTCAGCATGCATTGACTCTTTCATACCAAGAATGTAATTGGGTTGAAACTGCCTTCCAGCACCTCTGCTAAACATATCATCAACTGAGCTATTTAAAAAGGTGCAAACTAATTGCCTTTGCTAACATGCCGGACAAATTATTTTCTAACAAAATTGATTGCTATCGTTGCATTCTTACTGCATTAATGTTTTCAGCGTGAATTTGTATCCCCTCCCCCTCGGCAATGCCCTATGGGCCCTGAGCGCATAGAAATAAATGTATATAAAAAATAGATAATGATGCTAACATACCGCCATTATGATTTCATATCCAATTCTAATGCACACGCAGATATTAAGTACATTTTCCTCAAAAAGAAAAAGCGCACATTAGAATTGGGTTAGTAATGTAGTCTAGAATAGGACTATCTGTCAAATCTTGCTCCAGTCAGAAAGTTTTTGCATCTGACTCAAACCAGGTGTGTCGAACAGCACTCCTATTTTTTATTCACTCGTCATAGTGCAAATGAAAGGAAAGAGCTCATACTCCTTTAAACCTTAAGTATTCTTAACTTGTTCATGTACCTTTCGGCAAACTTTCAGCCTGAAAGCAAACTGCAGCAAAGGAACAGTAAGCAGTTCCTTCCTATGATAAAAAGAAACACCCTGTGCACCGATCGTGAGTACCAAGAACCTCCAAGAAACAACAAAGAAATGGGACGAAACTTGGGGCAGTTTTCAATTTCGAGCATACATTAGAACCTTGAAAACGATCTTGAAAGTAAGAAGTGCAGGTAAAATTACAAGATGCCACTGAGTGTAAGTAGGAAAGCGGGGTACATTTGTGGGCTTGTTTATCTTCGTGAGGCACAAACAAATTATATAAAGTAACTCAAAAGCGTGATTTAGACACTTACATCCAGAGGCCTGTAGAAGACGTGAACACATTGTGCACCTGCAAGCATAGAGAGCATTGCCGCCACGCTGAAACGCAGGGTATATCCCCAGGAGTGTCCGTGCGGCATCAGTATACCCTTCGCCGAAGAGGTAACCTTAGGTGAAAGAAAAAAGTGTGCTTGTAATCAGTGTTACCTATATCAAGTGGAACCTGAGTGCACCTAGTCTGTAACGACCACATATGCAGAACTACAGACAAAACCAGGCTCACAAAAATGGAAGATCTCATGCAAGCACATGAATAATAGGAACATATTTTTTTGTAAGCAGTGAGAGAGTGCAGGCGAGCTGGTAATCAATCGACATCTTGTAAACCCTGAGATGTTGAACAATAAAAAAACGGACGAACACAACAAAATCTCAAGATTTTGAGATCTCTGAGATTTTGTTGTGTTCGTCCGTTTTTTTATCGTTCCCCATCTCAGGGTTTACAAGATGTCGATATTTTTTTAATTAAAATTCTATGTGCCATGAAGATATGTTGACAGCACTAGCGAACTCAATTAGGCATTTTAGAATCTGCTTTGACAGCTTCGAGTTTTGGCTACTTGCAGTATTCAATTCTTGGAGCCAAACTGGGTGTGTGTGGTGCTTTTAAGTGGACAGGGACTGCTTCATTTAATACAGACATTCAAGACAACAAGAATATAGAGTGCAAAATTATCATTCCTTTTTTGGTACTTCTTTATCTTATTGACAAAGGAGTAGCATGGTGCCATTGATTGATTTCATGTAGAAAACATGCAATCAGAAATTAAGCTTTGCCGAATGAGGCATTGAATACGTAAGGATACCGCTACCGCACTAAATTAACGTACACCATACCCAACGATATCCCCAACATGCGTGATAAGAGACACTACCGTGAACACCTTATATTTGTTTTTGGCTGCAGGAATCGGGTGTCACGACTTCAATTCGGCCTCCACTAGCTTCTGGGCTTGCCTCTTCTTGTAGGTGTTGTCTGGAAGTAACATTGAGTTAAATTCACATACGGTAGGACACTATAACGGCAAAGAAGCAGTGTTTGCTGCTGCACTTAAAACGATGACCAGTGTGCAACTCACAGAAATTGGTCTTGCCCGCCGTCCAATTGATCATGGAAAACTCCAGAGCAGCACCCAAAACGAAAAATACGGGCAGGAACCGGTAGGGTCCAAAGGCGCGTTTTCCAGGCCAGCTTGCTACAAGTTGGGCGATTAATCTGCTCCGTTTCATCCTTTCGTATGCAAAAACGAAAAAAAAAACAAAAAAAAAACACAGATTTTAGTTTTTCGTTATGATTATAATGCAATTAAAATGCAAAGGTGCAAGCGAGCTGGACAAGAATGATGAAAATAATCCCTGGAGAAGGGGAACAAGGTCACGCCACTTATGTCTCGTAAACTTGAGGGACATTTAACACGGCGGGAACCTTGTACCATTTAAAATCGGCTTTAGATACGCCGCGTGCGATGTGAGATGGCTCCCCTTCGGTGGTGCTTCGGCTCCGCGCGAGCTTCGAGTGTGCATGCACGCGCCGTTGGAGCACCATTGAAGGAAACTGACTCGCGCTGGAGGTGAGTTCGGTACTCCCTTCCCCCCGATCTCGTGGAGAAAACATTCTGCTTTTCTACGCACAGGACTAAAGAAATCAATCAACTAAATTTGCTCGGCGTACCTCAATGATCCCGGTCAGAGATTCACTTCCGCGACGGAGTGCTCGTCCACGGGGGCCGCCATCTTTAAATATCGAGTGACCCACAGTGAGTCGTACTTACGCGAGATGGCGCCACCATCGCATAAGTTGCGAGTTGCGCCGTTGCGCGCCGACTGTGTGCAAGCGATCGGCCGGACGGTGGACGAGCCAACGGTGAGCCACGCATGTTTTTTTGTTTTTCTCTTAAACTCCGCAACCTGATGAGGTATGCAGTGAGTTTATATAGTTTAATATGAAGCTCTGCACAGCCAACAGCCGCTATTTTAAAGACGTTAACTGTTGGCAGGTGTTGAGAGACGCAAACCATGTTCGTCTGCTTCGTGCCCCCAATTCCGAAACCGAAACAAGATGCGCTGCCTTTTTTTTTTCCTTCCCTTTACTGGTTTTCTTTTTTGACTGGAAAACGAAGCGTAAATAAATAATACAGAAAGGGTCGATGTACAACCGATTAACTCGACTTTCCGTACCCCACACTCGGAAAGACTGACAGCCAGCATCGATAATAAGAGAAGAAAAACCCAAAAGTAAAACTAGACAAAACAAGGGATTTTTACGACTGCCTACTCTCCGCAACAGCAGGCAACGAGAGTGGAGAAGTGGCAGAGGCGGCCGTGTAGGGGGCGCCATGGGTCGGACATTTGTGAAAAGGACCCATTTAAAGAGTGATTAAATTTGTTGTTAATACCAGGAAAACGCTTAAAATGGCCTGGTGCAGGTGAGTCGTGACGCCCGTTTTTCTACGTTTCTCTCGTCGTACGAAGCGTCGGTCGCGGTCCCAACCGATCCCGCGATTCATCGTCGAAATTCGGGCTCCCCAACCGTTCCTCGGACGGGCCGCTCGCTGCTGCATACCGCCCCGCCGCAGCCGCTGCTTCGAGTACGGACGGTCGGCCCGACGGAGTCGGCACGGAATAGTTGAAAAAACGCAGGCGCATTGGCAAATGGTTTCCGCGCGCAGAACGCCAGCAGTTTTGCCAGCGTCCCGACGTTCGGTGGCCGCTTGCATGTCGCGGAGTCGTCCGCGAACGAAAAGCAAGCTGCGGGACACAGGGATGTCGTAACTTGATTGTGTTTTGGGCCATGATTACACACACACACAGAAGATCGGCCTCTTTTATTATCCCTTTTTCTTGTTCTGCTTAGTGCTACTTCCTCCTTTTTTTTTTGTTTCGTTTTTGAACGCTCGGTAATCGGTTTACGGGTTGAGCGTTCCGAGTTCTTCGACCGAATCTGTTTCGTGTAGAAAACATTGAAACAAAAAGGGAAAAAAGAAAGCTACACGATCGTTTGCGGGCTTCAAGGGTCGAAAAAATGTGAGGCGAACACTTTCTGCTGGTCAAAGCAGCGGTCGAGGAGGTAGCAGTTGTTGTAGTACTACTTATCGTTGTATTCTTGTAACCGTGAAGAGATCTCCGTGCCTGTCGTGACCGTGTTTCGTTTGTTGCGGGGGGGACCGCCAGTCTTTTACGGCGGAGTTCGTGCAACCTCACGTGGATTACGTAGCGACGTTTGCAATGCTTCGACGAGGAGATAGCCGGCCGTTTTGCGAACTTTTACCCGAAACAGACTCGATGGTTTGAGTGTACTCAACTGGTTTACTATGCTCCGTCGAGATGCAATGTATACTTCTGTTTCGCCTTAGTTTGCTTTCTTTTTTGATACGTTTGTTTTGAAAGCGCCGTATACGATGCATTGGGATTGTTCATCAACATGACGAATCGATCGCGTCTGTTTCTTTTTTTCTTTGCTTTCTCTCTTATGCGTGTTTCTTCGCAACAGGTGTACTGGGTGTGTTATTTTGCTCGCATGTGGTTCGTGCTAGCTTGCTAGAAACACCCGGTGTTCGAACGAGGGGAGTGTGTCCGTTTGGTTTCTCCGTACATTTCTTGCGCAAACGACGCATGGGGTACATGCTTACACAGGCAGGTAAGGCATTTAGTAACGCTATGATCGTTGTGCTATCCATTCAAAACAAAACAAAAATAACCAAAAACAATTGAAAAAAAAAAAAACTTTCTTGTAAACTTTAGAGCGGTAGCAGCCGCTGGGGTCGGAATGCAACTCTCTTATTGGCTGCGTGTAAGACATTTAGTAACGCTACTGGCTGGAGGTATCCGTTAAAAAAAAATAATAATAATTGGAAAAAAAAAGCTTTATTGTAAATTTTAGAGCGGTAGCAGCCTCTGGGGTCGCAAATGCAGCTCTCTGATTGGATGCTGCTTGCGGCTGTCTGTTAGCACGAGGAGCTAGCGACCATGTCTTTGTATTTGCAAACTCCATTTTTTAGTCTGTTTTTCTGCGCTATGAGAATGCTCTCATAGACTGGTGCAACGTGCCACGCGTACGCCAAGCTCTTATTACAAAGCCTTTCACTCTTTCCACTTTAGCAGAGGGAACGCCGGAGGGGAGAGGAGGAAACCACCAATCATGGCCAGCAGAGAGCTTTATGGGAGGGGCTTGTCTTGCTTTTCTTTATGCCGCGATCTTGGGAACGCCGGTTATTGCTAAGATAGTCGCTGACAGAATGAGAACGGCAGGCTGAGGACGCCGTCCTTTCGCCGTGCATTGGCCGCGCATTGGCGCGCGCTCGGGGTTCACGAGACGTCGAAGCAGTGTTGAAAGCTATGAAGCTAGCGCTGGAGGCGGAACAACTGAAGCGCCTCCCTGCCGTTCTCACCCTGCCAGTGACTGTATAGTCACTGACAGAATGAGAACGCCCGTCCTTTCGCCGTGCATTGGCGCGCGCTCGGGTTCACGAGACGTCGAAGCACTGTTGAAGGCCTTGAAGCTATATAGCGCTGTAGGCGAAACAACTGAAGCGCCTCCTTGCCGTTCTCACCCTGCCAGTGACTATAGTACTCCCTATCCTCGCAGGGCACATTCCTGCGTGCATTGTAACTTTCCGCGAATGTGATGTGTACATTCCAACGGCATATAGGGCGTTTTCACTGACGTAAGTTCGTGCACCATTTTGTTGTTGTGAGCTGTCTGGCGTGTGCCAAGCTCGAACATCCAAAGGATTAGCATGACCCCTCAAATGCGTAGAGCACAGACGCTTATGTCTTACCACGCTGAGATCTCCTCAACCGGTTGTGATGTAATCCTCCAAATTGGTAAAGTTGTTTGAAGAAAACAAACTAACAACAAAATGGCGGATTCAAGGCTGATACCTAGGTAGGTGGTTGGGCATTGCCGAACCTTCAAATCGGGCGGCAGTTTGCGCTACCTGGTGTCACTAAGGAAATCTAGCGCTACCTATCCGGTGTTGTTGTTGTTTTTTTATTTGATTTGTGGAAATTTAGTTTTTTTCTTCTTTCTTGATTGGATTGGCGGCTTTTTGCTTGCTTGAGGTGGGCAAAGTAGAAGCTGAGAGGTGTCGGTATCTGTGGGAACATTTTGAATTTCTGTCACCTACTTACCTTTTTAGTAAGTCGAAAGTAAAGTAAGTCAGCTACTGTTACTTTTACCAGATGATCGTGATACAGTTACTTTTTTTAGGTTCCTGGTTTTCCCAGTGAACGGTGCAAGCCCGTCGCCCAATGAAACACACTCCGCTGTTCATAAGCTTTACTCGCTTTTATACCCATGTGTGCATTATCCGCGGAAAGAAAACGTATCCTGTTGTGTGTCGGCCAGAAGCGAGGAACAAGCAGGTTTCCAAAGGCGAAAGGACAGGTTTATTCTACCATGCTCATGGATGGGGGGTAACTGAGCAAAAGAAGGCGGTAGCCGGCGGAGCACCGCTTTTTATCATTTAGTGGCGCATGCGCCGTACTACAATATTCTGTTATCGGCGGCGCGCGCCCAGACATGACAATCTTATAAATGGGGGGTCTGAAAACACGCGGCCCGCGCCTCGCTGGGACGCGGCCCGCAGGCTGCCGGCTTCGAGCCCGGCCCCGTTCCCATGTCTCTAGCTCTTGAAATGCCATGCTCCATAATGACCTCATGTCGCCGATTCATTTCCGCTCTAAACGTAGCTATGCTCTAATAACGTATTCACATAGTTTATGCCCAGGGTGGCCAAACAACGGCTCGCGAGTCGCATGGGGCTCCTCGCGGGTTCAAGTGCGGCTCGCGGCTTCCTGATAAGCATGCCCCCCCCCCCCCCCCCCTCCGCCTTTCCCCTCCTGTGAATTAAAAAAAAAAAAAAAGATGAAAGTCGTTTACAAATGTCTGTAATGCGAAACTAGAGCGCAGCTCTTGAGGAGGAGGAGGGGAGGGTATGCCCCTCTTCCGTACCCTCTCCCTTTCTCATCCAATTCAGTTTCCCCGCTAAATTTAGCGGAGAAAATGACGTCACATGACTTGTTGTCACGTCACCTATGAGCAAACTCAATTTCTCCGCTAGATATAGAGGGAAAATTGACGCCACGTGACCCCAACACCAATTCGATTTTCCGCTAAATTTAGCGGGGAAACTGAACATGGTGTGTTGGTTTGTGATGTCTATAATGCAACGCTGCGCATCCACTTTCCCTTTTGCTCAAGGACGCACTTCGACTCTGCGAATTTTTTTCTCTCAGCGGGAACAACTGTCAAAAGATAAAAGCTATGAGCTGAGGATTCTCGCATCCTGAAATGATCACTTCTACAATACGAATATTTTCTCGAAATGCTGCTGCAACTATCGATAGAAAAGCAAAAACTTTCATATGACAATTTTTTTTTTTTTCGAGACACGTTAAGTTTTAATAATTCCCGCGTAAATTGAGCAACGAAACCCCCACCCCACCCACTCGAATGAAAGGTTTGAGATTTTCCGTCCTGTTGATGGATAGATGAACTAATTGTGACGATGGAGAGGCCACTTGGAAAACTGTCAAGACGTAATGAACAGCACCTTCCGGTGTTTGAGCACTCGCCCGTTTCTTGTAACAACCGTCGAAGATTTCGTGCTGGCTGTCCTAGTCCTTGCGAAAAAGTAAACACACGAGACGTAATTAATGCGAAGGTGCAGGCGAGCTGGACAGAATAAAAATAATAATCCCCGGAGAAGGGGGGACAAGCACCAATCTCCAAGCACAACTAGGTGACTGGTGCGCGATGAAAAGAATCCGCCTGTTCCTGGTATCGAACCAAGGACCTCTCCATTTATTTATTTTTTGTGCATAGTTACCGCACAGGAAAGTAAGGCGCGTTCAGTTCACAATTCCAACGTGCGATTCACTAACCTACACGCTCTTTTGTCAAAATCGGTAACCACAAAACAAAAAACAAAACAAATATATATATATATATATATATTTGTTTTGTTTTTTGTTTTGTATATATATATATATATATATATATTATAATTTGTTAATTAACCAAGGTGGCGAAAGCAGTAAGCTGCAGAGGAGAGTCAGAAAATAACCCTGGACGAACTGCTGGCTGCAGCCTGCTGCACCATAAAACTAAAAAGAAAAAAAATAAAGAGGCTAAAACGTTTTTTTTTTTTTTCTTGTTGTGTGTGTGGCTGTGCTTCAGGTTATATTTAATCTCGTAAAAGCTTTTTGTTTTTTTTGTTTTTCACTTAAGCTAATATGGTATTTGCGAAAAGAGATTAACACAATCGGAGCAGGTTAATCGGATTATTAAAAAAGGATCAAGCTTTGATCCTAAAAAAAAATAATAGTAATAAACGTTGCATTGGTAGTTCTGTTATAGAGAAAGTAGTTCTACTGTGCTTACATAACCGTATCAACCCATGGACACGTCGAGTAACAACTGTGAGCAGAAGAGGTGAGGGCGCAAACGAGCTGGTGGTGGGTGATCGTAATAAAAACACGCCGAGACCGGGAAAAAGAAATGACGGACAGACACAGACACCTCTGTGTCTGTCTGTCATTTCTTTTTCCAAGTCTCGGGGGCTTTTTACTGTGTTTAACAACCGTCATTTAAAAACAGTCGCACAAGTTTTTCTTTTAAGGTTTTAGTGTTTAAAGGAGCTGTGCAACGATATTCAGTTGGAATGTTTTTCACTTTACACGAGCTTACTGGCACCCAGGGATGGGCAGTATTTTAAATACAAGTATTTGAAATACGTATTTCAAATACTTTGTGTATTTTGTTTTTGTATTTAATTACAAATTGAATGATGTATTTGACGTGTGTATTTAAATACTAAAACGTGGGTATTTCGAATACAATTGTAATTAGATACAATTTTGTGGGCGAAAATACATCCCTCAAATTTATTGTTACTGTCCAGAGCAGGAAGAAAGCTACGTCCTGCACCGAATGCAGTGTCTCTCAGTCAAGCACAAGCGTTTAGTGACTCTGATTACGGTGCTAGTCAAGGTGAAGAATTGTGACGAAATTGACGTTCACAGGCAGACTGGCTAAATAAGTGCCTGTGACAACTTGTGATGCTTTCCAGCCTGATTTCCATCCATATTTTTGCCTGGAACATTCTATATGCGCGGGTCGTACAGATTTTCATACCTGGTGCGAGTTGCAACAATAAAAAATTCTCTAGCTAGCGCTGCGCGTCTTGGTCGTCTCGGTTCTTTGTTGGTCTATACCAAAATGTAATCGACAAAAAAAAAAAAAAAATCTTGAATCTCTGTACTTCTTTAACCTATTACGTCCAAGCTGATTACATTGTTTTCTGATTAAATTTCTATTACGTTACTAAAGCCTCGCACACTAACTCCCGAGTGTGCGATGCGAAATTAAAATGAGATACCCAGAAACCCGTTGCAGGTGCCCTGAAGTCGCTGACGCAAATTTTAAGGAATGTATTTGGAAAAGTATTTGGAGGAGATCAAATACATTTGGTTGTATTTGTATCTAGTACTTAAATGCTTTTTTGGAGATGTAATTAGATTTGTAATTAAATATATTTTTGACGAAGTATTTTGTATTTGTATTTCGATACACATTTGCATGTATTTTGCCCATCCCTGCTGGCACCAGTGGGGCTCAAGGATACTCGCACGCGACTCCGCTGGCCAAGAAACTCCTTTGTTGTGCTGTAATTTCAAGGACAAAAGCGATCATTTTCATTCAATCTCTCCTTTGCAAAATTTGATGACGTAACGTGGGCATCGCAGTACACCCAAGTGACGATATTTGAATGCGGTTCATAGATTGGACCCGAGCATTGCGTGGGCACTCGGCTTGGGCTCGTGATAATTGCTAGCTCGAGAAGCATTCGGGTAGTGACCCGTGTCCAATCGCTGCAACGACGACAACAGCCGAGCCATAAAAATGTCTGGAACTCAGCGCGTGTCCTGTGCTTTGCCAACCCCAGCGCGTGGCTATGATCAACATTGGCGGCATATAATCGGCTCCAGATCACGTGGCCGCTTGTTCTGGCTGCGAGTTGAGGGGGTGAACGCTGCTCGTTTTTCTTTAATTTTTTTCTGGGACTTCTATTACGTGGGGTGAAAAACGAACGCGTGTTTCATGGGTCATTAACGTTAGGGATACGTTTTAAGCGGTATTTGCTCAAAGTACAAAAATTGTTGCATCGCTCCTTTAAGAACTCTCTTACCATAAAGATATATACAAATGCATACACCGCAATAAAAGAAAGAAGAAAAAAAAAAGGGGGAGGGAGTAAAATGTCGCGCCCTCATGCATCTTGAAAGTTAGCAAAAATACAAGTAAATTTTTTTTTTTTTTTTTTTGGGGGGGGGGGGGGGGGGTTTGAATGTTGACTTTAGAACTGAGATCGGAGATGTTTCTCGAACTCACCTTCGGGGTACTTTTTTTGTTCTTCTCCACAGCCTCCCCCCCCCCCCCCCCCCCCCCCCCCCCGCACCGCTTAATCATACATACAAAAGACAAATACACACAAAAGAAAAACACCCGCGGACGGAGACATAACTTTGGCGTCAATGGGTCGACCGACGCGCGTCTCTGCGGCCGCAAACACGGAAGTGTGGCGGACAATAGCCCCAGTTGTTTGGACGTCCAGCGCGCAGGGCAGGGCACACAGACACACACATACTATCGGTCCAATTAGGAGCGAGATCCAGTTCGCGCGTCGTCGTTTGACCCGAGGTTTTGGAGAAGGGGCGACCTCAAGGGGCACGTGACCCTAGGCAACGTCCGCCGATGTCGTCACTAATTAGCTCTAGTTCTATAGACGACGGAGGACTTGTGGGGTTCCTGCATATATGCGAATGGCGACGCTTGGCCACGTGATGAGATTGTGCGTCGCGTGTACGTTTCCAGACTGCGTCTGATTCACACACTCGCCACTGCTTACGACCGAGTGCGTCGGGACCTCTTGCGATCTCTTAAAACTGCGCTCGCACCGGACACTGTGTTCGCTGCAGAAACGGTGACAAAAACGGTCATCGGACCACGCCTCGGGCATCTCCGAAGCACGTTTGCGTCATTCATATATGTGCGCTTCAAACATGTCTGCAGGTAGTTTTTGTACGTGCAATGTGACAGCATGGTCGTAATTTCAAACAGTGTTTGCAGGCTTTTTTTTTTTGTATGATGTATTAGCAGTTTTACACCGACTTTAGTCAGTTTCAATGGCCGCCTTTTGTCTCCGCTGCACATGAGAAATTAACCAGTGTAGTACTATTGCTGCTAACCCGGGGGTGACGGAAAGAATCCGCCTGGTCCTGGTATCGAACCAGGGACCTCTCCAAGTTTAGGTGGAGCGCTCTACCGACTAAGCTAACCAGGAGTTTATAAAACCGGTTTGCTCTACTGCCGTCTAACTCCTGGTTATCTCAGTTGGTAGAGCGCTCTACAAGAAATGGAGAGAATCTCTGGTTGGATACCAGGACCAGGCGGATTTGTGTTTGTCCTGTGTCCCCTATGTTTCCCTTCTCTGTTGATTATTTTCGTCATTCTTGTCCAGCTCCCTTGCACCTGTGCATTTCATTGCATTATAGTCATAACCAGGGTGCGCGCTAGTTCCTATCGAAAAGGCCGTCATTTGGACGATTGTTGTGGAATAGCGGAGGTTGGGGGTGTACGACGTGTAGCTAATAAGAGCCTGACCTCGTATATACTTTTTCTGAAACCGATCATCCTGCCGAGCTAAGGGAGAGTGATATACCACCATCGTTAAAAGTTGCAATAATGCTCTAAAAAAAGAAAACGTGTGCATGGACAGTGGGCGTGACGCTTCACTCAATCATATTCCCCGCGCACGTTGCATCTCCCGCATCGAATCGCACTAACGAGCTTGCTTGGTCAATTCGCTAAAGATCCTTCCATTGCTCGCCAGGATTAGCCGTGTCCTGGTTCGGCGGGAAAGTGAACTCGCAGGGGAGGGTATACGGGATGGGTGGCCGAGTGTGTTCGCGCACCCCGCCGCTGCTCGGAGCGCGTGGAGCGAGAGCTCGCGCTCCAGAACCCGGGGATTCTGGGTTCCATCCCGACCCCCTGCCCGTTTCGATCTGGACGAGCATTGTGCCGGTCGTGTATCACTATACTGCGTGGTGCACGTGAAAGACCCCAGGCTGACAGTCGTACTGCACTAGCAGTACACAAAATGTGTCCACTAGCTGCGCGCGCGCGCGCAGAAACCAGATTTGCGTGAAGTAAAGCGTCATGGCCATCCCCCCCCCCCCCCCCCCCCCCCCCCTAAAAAATAAAGAGGAAAACATTGCTTTCTTTTTGGCATTGAGCATGAATGACGCTTCGCCGTGCTCATTGCCGCAGCGCAAACAACTTTCTTTTTATACTTTTTTTTTTTACTTCTAAACCTATTTTTATCTTTATCATTCACCGCGCACCTTTTGGCTCCAGGTTTTTTCGATTGTAGTCACTGACTACCTGGATCGATGGATGCTTACTCGGCTGCCCCCTTTATAACAGGCGGCACCTGGCCCGGCACTCGCGCAATAAGTACTCCGTTGGAAGAGCCTACTATGGCAGTCCCAGCCGTGTATACTTACGCGAATGGTGTCTTTACACACAGCGAGGCAGTAGTGATGAGTATGGACAGGCGTCAATACGAACTGGGGAGACGGCTGCACAGCAAATGCAGCAAAAACCGGAGACATCACAAAGGCCAGGTGTCAAAGCCATAGGCGTAGACTACGAGGGGGCATCGGGGCTCGGCCGTGCCCCTCCCGGTGAAATACGGGGAGAGGGGGGGGGGGGAACAGAGCCCCCCCCCCCCCCCCCGGCCATGATTCTAACCGAGACGCTGTTTACGTGCCATGTAACGAGCTTCTAGTAGTGGCATGTAAACAAAATAACGCACACAGCGACGGACACATGGCGATATACATACGCTGTAAAATGTCTTCATAAGTGGCCATATTAAAGTTACTCCCCCAGGAGAGCTATACGCCAGAAGGATGTACCATCACATCCGGTATCAGGGGTCGAGGACAGCATGGGTGAAGAGGGCCATAGACTAGAAATACAGGGGAGGCACAACAAGAGCAGCGGGCGACGACGGAGCGGGCGAGGACAATGTGGGCAGAGGTGGCACAGACCGGAACAGAGAAGGCAAATGCAGAGGAAGCAGAGCCTCCAACTGTACAGAGGACACAAGAGGGAACCGGCGCCCCATATCTACAGTATCGGGGAGACAGACGATCTAAGGTGCAGGCTCTGCGGCGCCGACGAAGAAACTGTCGAACCTATTTTAACGGCGGTGCAGCAACACATTGACCAAGATGGACAGGGGGGGGGGGGGGGGGGGGGTCGATGCGGTGCTGTATAGTGAAGTAGGCCCTTGGCTACGGAGACGGGGCTGACGGGGACATCGACACCCCTTTGGTGGACGGCACTCGAGAAAACGCACGGGGACCCGACGGAAGCAAGAGAGCGCCGCCCGGTGGCGTGGAAACGACTATGCCGCACCGCGAAAGCTCCTGCCTAAACTAATACCTGACGCATCTGGACGACCTCCAATCAGTACACACCAGAAGTGATTACGCGTTATTTACGGTAGCCAGCCGAGGCACAGTTTTGGGAATGTACGCCCCGTTTTAAAAGGGATTTGGTCCATCTGTCTGATTATGATTCATCCCCTCTACCTTTTAACCCAATTTGCTCCCCCTCCCCCCCTCTCCGCATTTTTCTATCACCTAAGAAACTCAGGTGGCGGCGCAGGAAGAGGGGGGGGGGGGGGGACTTTTGCATTTTATCATCGCCTACAGCAACAACGAATGGCGGAGTGAGAACCGTCTACATAAAAAAATCCCGGCCTGCGCTTTTTGAGCTGTCACACCGCTCACTGGGAACGAACGCGAGCTTTGCGGAGCAGCCAGCAAAAAACTGGGCAAGATCGCCTCGAAGTTTGCCGCTAAGCTGACAGTGCGGGGAAGGCTGCGCACTCGCCGAACCAATCAGCCGCCTCCCTTTCATCACCTGACACCCGCTCCTCTGCGGCTGCTGAGGTCACGTGGTGAAAGGCGGACACGGGACTGGTCCAACGAGCACGTAGCTGCCACGGCAGTGTTAGCTTAGGCCCGCTTCAGACAACAGGGCAATTTCTCCCAGCAACTTGACGTCGCAACACCAGCAACACGGGCCGCCCGCGTTCACACGCAGCAACCAATTGCTGCAATTTTGCTAACATCATCATTACATTTTACTTTTCTCGCACTTTTTAGACACATAGTTACGCGGTATAAACGTGTTTTCATTCTTATAGATGGCGTTGACAATACTAACTCCTCTTTCTGAAACGGTTTATTTCCAAAAACGATCAATTTCAAACCAGAACTAAGTGTTTTGTTTTCATCATCACCGGCACGGGCATCGCGTGAAAATATCGCTTCCCTGATTGGCTGCTGCCGCTCCAAACATCTTCGAACTGCTCAGAGTTGCTGGCTTGTTTCGAGCCGGACCCCATTTCAGTCATTCGTGTCGATCTAGGGAAACCTAGCGAAAAACCCGCCAGAAGGTTGTTCCGTCTGAAATAAGTTAGATGGTCAGAAATAAGTTAGATAACCATATTATTATTATTATTTTTTTTTAGAAAGGTGGGGGGGGGGGGGGGTATTTGAAAGGGCAGTAGATTTGATAAGAGGCGAATGCACTCTGAGGGGATTATTTACGCGCTACAACAAAGCAAAAGGGGAAAATGGAGTACTTTTGTTTTTGTTTTACGATGCGCGAACTTCGCCGAACGAAACAGGCCTTGTTAGTTTTCATTTCTTTTCCATTTTTTTTAGTCGGTTTAGAAGGCAATGCACTTCGGTGACTTTTCGTGGTCTTATTAAAACACAGACCCAGAGAACGGCTCGCGTGTTTTAGGTTTGCTTTCGCAGGCGGGCTCGATTTGTTCTCTTTATATGTCTACTTTTTTTTTTCTGTTTGTAAAACAAAACGGTGAAGTTTAGATTATCATCGTGTTCCGCCACTGCCAGCTTTGCGCCTGCTTCACGAGTGGTAACTTTGGTGCGCCCCCGAGTTTCCCACGAGCTTCGAGTAGTTGTAAAAAGAGTTGATTTAGTGGTTTTCGATGACGCTCAGTAAGTTTCTAATTGGAACCATATGTATATTTTCTCTAATTAAAAAAGTTAATTAATGAATTTTAATTAATTAGCGGACTTATCGCTTCGGCCGTCGGAGGGCAGGACAGCCGCCGCCAAGATGCGCTTGGATAAGAATCCGAAACTAAAGTACGCGTCATAATTGAAGTGTTTTTCAATACATGGTAAAATGCTCGGCATGCTTTATACTTCTCTAAAAAAAGGTTGATATAGAGGCTATTGATGATGCCCAGCAAGTTTCTAATTGAAACTATGGCCTTACAATGAACAAATAAAAAGTTACTCTCTAAAAAACAAAACAAAAACTATTTTTTCCAGACGTTATTATTTTTCTCTAAATAGGTTCTTGGGCAAACAGCAACACGACAGCAACCTTTTTTCTGTGCGATGGTTAGATTTCGCAGGAGCGAGTTGGCCTGCGTTTTCTGAAATACCCTATATATATATATATATATATATATATATATATATATATATATATATATATATATATATATATATATATATATATATATATATTAATCTTTGCTGAATATGTGACAAACGGCGCAATATAAAAGTTTGATTTCGAATCTACCTTTATGCGTAGCTGAGAACGGTTCCAAGGCACTCACACTCAAAGATTATTACTTATGCCGCATGAGGCAGAGATGTTCATTTTTATTCTCCGGCAAGAGCGACCTCCCTTGATTGTTCGCAATAGTCTCTGCTGCGCTGAACGGACACTAGGAACGGCGTTGAAGTGACAGGGAAACACGTCTGACCTTCTGTAAATGTCTTGAGTTACAAATATCGCCCGTACAGTTTACTGTAGGCTAAAAATTTCCCCTAAAGTCTGCCCTTCATACGGGTGTACTCGTCTGCGTGGTGAAAGCGCGGAATATTTACTTTCTTTTGGTTCGTCAGAACTTTACCGATTAACGGGTGAAAAAGATTCATTGCGATTAAAGCATTCATCGATTCATCGGTACGTTAATCGATCAATTGCCCAGCCCTAATTATGAACAAGCACGCTTCATTCTGAAGCCGGTCATCCAGGAGCTGGGCAGCGCAGCGCGATTCTCACACCGCGGTACCACATCGCCGAAACATGCAAATAAAAAGTCACCATAAAAAGAAAACTCGCTGACGTCACGCTTCTGCGGTGGCGCTGCTGTCGGCACTGCGCATGCGCACAAACTTGGCGCCAAATATATATATATATATATATATACGTGTG